TATAATAAAATCTCACACAAACGAATAATTATTTAACTATATTTATTTTGATATTTCCTTTTTTTTCACTAGCCTCTTCCATATGCATAGATGCCATTTTTTCAGTAGTCTTGTCTAGACTTAGATTCGTTTTCTTTTTGCTTCTTTTAGGCTTTTGTAAATATATATAAATATAAATTATCATTCAATCAATTAAATCAATTAAATAGTCAAATAGAATCAATAAATTAAAAAACTTTTACTAACAGTTTTCTCTTCAGCAGCAGCATCTTCAGTATGTTACTTTCCTTTGCGACCTATTTTCTTAGAGATAGGTGATTCGACTTCTTCCGTACCTGCTCTTTTTAGGACATTCTTATTCTTGTTCTTTGTATCACATTTTTTCATAAAAAAGTTACAAAATGTGTGCTCTGTGATAACAAGTACATCAAATGCTTGTACTGCTTCTCTTTCATCTCTTGTTCATAAAACTTGCTCGTTTCTTATTATCTTAAATTCGTAAATCGTCGAAGCAAACTTAAATTACTTCAAATACTCAATCGAATCCCATACATATGCATTAAACAATGACACAAACATTACACCGCAACAATGATAAAATCTAACCTCCACTGCAGCAGACGACAAAATTTCGTAAACATAGCCATAGAAAAATCATAAGAAAGATACGCTGACTAAAGTAGTACTAGTCTTACACCAGGCTACACAACATAAACTGAAACCAAAATCATACGACCGTGCTCACACTATATACGTTCTGGTATACCTATAGCTATCAGATCGCCATTTTGGAAAAAACTAACGACGCTTGCGTACAAGAGTTATCCAAATAAGCACAGTTTTTGAATCGACGCAGTTTATTTAGATTATTACCTTTATATAAAAGTGTTTGTGTTTGGTTGCTATTACATTGAGCTAACACCCAATGCATGTCGCAATATTCTCTCACAGAATAATTACTCATAATGCGAACTGACTGTGTCCGCAATGTGAAGTGAAATAAGTTGTAATTTGTAAACAAGTCATTCAACTGCAGTACACTTATTACTGTTTACAAATTACAATCTATTTCGCTTCATATTGCGGAGACAGTTTGATTTATGTTGTTTCGACTACAAGATCGCATTACGAGTGATTATTTTGTGAGAGAATATTGCAACATGTATTGGGTGTTACACAAACAGCGCAAGAATATGCAATTAGGTACCCTAATCGGCGACATCCTGATAAAATTTAATGTACTCTACAATATTTACTGTTTCAGAATAATCATTATCATAGAAAATGTATGTAATTGTTGCAGATTAGCATGTTCAGATCCAAGCTCGGTCATGCGTAGATCAAAATCGGTCCTTTTCAGGACCACTCAAAACGTAATACGTTGCTACAACTATCTTGTCACATTAAAGGAATAGACATTATAAGGAATAAAGGGTACCTTCTGAAATTCACTGACGTTACAGCGAGCGATTGTATCTCACTCAATTACATGCAGATAAACAGGGACACTACGACGATACTCTTAGTGTTATTGGCCTAGTGTAAGCAGGTCTTGCGGGCTGACTCGCGACGTCATCTACGCTCCGTTTAAACGCGCTCTGATTGGTCGCTTTACTGAAACTTCAACATTAATTATCTTGAAATTTTGATATATGAAATAAAAGATGAAAATATACGTAATCATTAGAATTTGACAAGGAATGCAACGATGTTACTACAGTGCATTTCATAACGAACACTCTGTATATAGTCGGTTGCCTGTACTTGGCGCAAGACTCGACCGAATCTCGTGATACATAAAGTGGAAAAAACATTTCTTTCAAGACATACTTATGTTTCTCCGCCAATTATTTATGAATTGTCGGATTCAGTTCCTATACTGTCAATGTATTAACTGAGATGTTCATAAAATGTAAGAGGAAAATTAGAACGATATATCGTCATGAATTTATATATATCACGAAATGATGAGATTAGAAATAATTAACTATGTAGAACGTAATTGGAGCAACGAACAAATAGCTGTACAAAACGTAAATGAAATAGCACACATTAACTATTACCGTCAATTCATGTCCATGTTAAAAGGAGATAATATAACATACGGGACGGAATACGAAATTATTATATTTTCTAAAATATATTCTAAATCGTTTATAATTTTACGACCGTCTAATACAAGTAGAGAATATTATGAGATTGTTATTCAACATAATCCTTTTAATAATAATAATGAAAAATCGGTACACTTGCTTTTCTCGGGCAGTTCTGAAGATAAGAGTGGACATTACGATTTACTGATACCAATAGTAAAACCATCAGTGATAATAAAAATACCTAATAAAATAAAAACTATGCCACGTAAAAAAATAATTGATATACATGAATCAAATGACGTGATATTGAATCTTTCTAATTTGAGTCTGGAGGATGAAAATAAATCGGATTTTAATTACAAAATTGAAAGTTTTAATCGCGTAAATATATGTAAAGACGAAAACAGTTTATTTCGTGCAATGAGTTACGCTCTTTATAAAAGCGATATACATCACGAATCCATAAGGTTCATGATAGTAAAATATGTTTATCAACATTGGAATAATGAACAAATATCAGTAAATAATGTACATAATATAAACAACAAAGATTCTTATTATTACAAAATGTCAAATTCAGGAATAAATGCAAACAATGGAACAGAATACGAAACAATGATTTTTCAAAAACTTATTTTAAAACAGTAGAAATTGTACGAATAAATCCGAATTGCAAAGCTAACTATAAAATTATTTCCAAATGTAATTTTAACAGTAACAATAACGAACAAATATACTTTCTTTTTTCTCTTGATCCTAACAATAACAATGGACAGTTTGACTTATTAATAAGAACAAAAAATACTACACATGAATCCAACACAACCTTAAAAGCTATTAATAATCCAGAAATGGATTTTGAAACAAATATATTGAACTTTTCTCAGTCTAACATTGATACATCTGAACCGATTATTAAACAAACCGAGTAGAATAAAAAATCGAAGATTACACACAATAGAAACAAACACGTGTATTCCACCAAATCACAACAACGTTACAAACTTGTAATGAAAAACAAAAGAAATTGTAATGAATACAAAACAAAAAGTAAGAAACTTCTTTCTCATAAAAATCGAAAATCAAAATCAAACTTTAGATTAAAATTAAACAACATAGATTACAAATTCCAAAAACACAAATTAAATTTAATAATACTAAGAAATATAAGAATACAGAAAAACAAACTCAAACAACAATATCTTAATAAACACCGTAATTACATGAAAACAATACGAAAAAAAAAGAACACTGTACAAAACAAAAAAACAAACAAAATTGATTAATACTTTACTATTATTAAATACAACTTCTAACTGTCAAAACCATCATGATCCTTTTAATCTACAAAATCGACCTCACTTTATGAAAAAAATTGAAAATTACTTGAAAGCAATACAAGAAGGACCTACTTGGATTTGCTCATGTTGTGGCGGTCTTTTCTTTAAAAAATCAGTTCAGTGTTACACAGACAAGTCCATGACTACTCATAAAAACCTTATATCGAATTGGGAAGAAATTTGCAAAATTATCTTGAAAGCAATACGAGAAGGACCTACTTGGATTTGCTCATGTTGTGGCGGTCTTTTCTTTAAAAAATCAGTTCAGTGTTACACAGACACGTCCATGACTACTCATAAAAACCATGTATCGAATTGGGAAGAAATTTGCAAAATTAAAAGTAACAATAAAATTATATTATGTCAAACTTGCAAAAACGGTATTTTTAACAATCGTGTACCCAAGTTAGCTTTAATCAACGGTTTAGAATTCCATGAAATTCTACCACCGTTAAAAAATCTGACCCCATTGGAATAAAGACTAATATCACCTCGACTGCCATTCATGCAAATACGTCACCTTGGAATTGATAAACAATTTGGTCTTCGAGGTAATTGCGTGAATGTACCCACCAATGTCGATAGCAATGTTTCAATTCTCCCACGAGCAGTCGATGACGTTCAAACGATCCAAATAAAACTTATGAGAAGAATGAGAGACAAAAATCCATACTCGTTTGAAACGATTATACCAAACAAAGTATATATTGCAGCAGCATACTTAACTAATCAACCGCTATATCAACTACACAATATCACACTTTCCCATGATTGGTTAGAATCGCAAAACAATAATGAAAACCACAATCACAATACTAATAATAGAAACAATGATATCAATATTATTATCAACAATGAAAACAACAATCATAATAATACTAATGATAACAATGATAATAATATTATTATCAATAATGAAGGCAACAATCACAATGCTAATGTTAATAATGATATTAATATTATGAACAATAATAATGCAAATACTGTTGCTAACATCGATAATTGGGATGAAACAGTAAATGATGAACCAATAAATCCAATCGACGAAGAAACTTTATTGCTGGACGAATTTACAGCTATTAAATTCGCTCCAGGTGAAAATAAATGTCCAATATCATTATTAATGGATTAAGATATGGAAGAACTAGCATTCCCGACAATCTACTGTGGTCAACGACGAACATTAGAAACTAAAATCAGTTTAGTACAAATAGCTAAATTAGAGGCACGCATGTATGATAGACGTTGTGCATTCAAAATCCCAAAACTTATGCTAAGTTATTGTCGCACACAAATACACAAATTGACTTCTAATATTCAAATAAGTTAAAGAAAAAAGTGCTCGACCGTTAACGTAACTGTAACAGATGCTTTGAACAACAACGTTCTGGAACAATTGATTCAGCAAAACGATGGCTTTCGAATTCTACAAGTAGATCGTTCAAGCCCCGCTTATTGGGAACTAAATAAAAAAAACGTTTTCAGTACTATGCGCCAACGTGGTTTGCCACAAATATTCTTAACAATTTCAGCTGCAGAAATGAAATGGCCAGAACTTATTATAATGCTGAATAAAATTTGGAATAAAACAGACATAACCGTAGAAGAATGCCACAATTTATTATGGCAAGAAAAAATAAAACTTATACAAAGCGACCCAATCACATGTGCGCGATACTACAATTACCGCATTCAAGAACTGTTCAAACTGTTAAAATGCGTGAATGGAATATTTGAACAACATAACGTAATAAAATAATATTAGAGAATAGAATTTCAACATAGAGGTAGTCCACACGTACATTGCATGCTATGGCTAAAAGATGCTCCACATTTTGGCCGTCAAAGTCAGAATTCCATTCAAGAATGTGAGCAATTCATAGACAAATTTATTACTTGCAAAGATGATCCCGAAATATCAAATTTAATAAATTATCAAGTACACAAACATAATAACACATGCAAAAAAAATCATTTGGTTCAGACGCAAATTACTGTAGATTCGGATTCCCCCAATTACCAATGACGAGTACAAAAATTCTTTTACCAAAAAGCACACAAGGATTGAATAAAATTTTTAAAAAAGAGATAGATTTGAAGTGGACTACTATCAAACACACTGTTGATTTGATCGCCAGAAAAGATAAAAATATAAGCCATATAAAATTGATCAACGATTTTCTAATGCACATCAACATGAATGAAAACGAATATATCCGAATAATTTGAGTACAACCTCAAACGACCTACAATATATTTACGACGAAACATCAAGGAATTAAAAATAAACGCATATAACAAACTAATTTTAACTTTAATGAAATGTAATATGGATATACAATTTATACTAGATCCATACGCTTGCATTTGTTACATTATTAATTACATAGGTAAAAGTCAACGCGGACTATCGAAATTATTAAAAGATACTGCCGAAGAAGTGAAAAAAGGTAATTATCCTTTACAGCAACAATTACGCAGTATCGTTAACGTATTCATCAACAAAACAGAAATTTCAGCTCAAGAAATCGCTTATCATTTACTGGGTATGCCCTTATCTGTCTCTTCAAGACAGTGCATTTATATTAACACTTCCCCCGCTAATGAAAGATGTCATTTAATAAAATCAAGAATAGAGCTTCAAAAAATTTTGGAAAACTATCCAAATTCTATTGACATAACAGAAGCTGGTATTGTAGAACATTATACAAACAGACCTGATAAAATGGAAACCTGGTGTCTTGCTGATTTCGCTTCAAAATGTCAATACTCTAAAACGTTGAGAAAAAACAATTCTAATCAAGAAGTCGATGATGCCGACGATGACAATGCGGAACTATATGAATTGTTAGAAGTTGGGAAAAAGAAATCTTTGAAATTGAAAAATAACGACGGCTACATTTACGAACGAAAATCTTTCAAAATCATAAAATACAGAAATTATAGTGTCTTGCAAGATGAAGGTAATTTTTACAGAGAACAATTGATGTTGTTTACTCATTGGAGAAATGGAAATGACATTACTAACGATGACACGTCGCACATAATCGCCTTGTACACACAAAAAATTGATGAAATTAAAATAAATAGAATCAAATATATTTATACAGATACAATAGAACAAGAAATAAACGATGCACTGCAAGATGTACAAGATGATCTAAACGATCCAACTAACGACGTTGATAATAATAACAACCCAAATAATAAATCAAAACGAGTTGAAGGTTTAGCTATCTATGAAATCGAGGAAGCAGAAGCTGACATCGGTATCGAAATTCCTAACAATTTTAAGACCACTGAAATTGTGCAGAATATAAATTTACCGCACCAAATTTCCAACGATGAATTTTACGCATTAATCAGACAACTTAATGATAAACAATATAGATATCATCATGATTTTGTATATAATTTTAGAAACAATCCCGATAATATAATCCATCATTTTATTAATGGAGGTGCTGGGGTTGGAAAAAGCAAATTAATAGAAGCATTAACACAAACGATAATAAGACATTACAATACAATTCCGGGAAATGATCCCAACAATGTATATATACTTCTGTGTGCTTATACCGGTAAAGCAGCTGTTACGTATATCGACCTTCATTCCTAAACAGAAGAATAACGTAGCCGACAGGGAGCATAATTGCAGACTCAGCACGTTACCCAGGGCATTGCCCGTGCCACCTACCCAGCTGGTTAGCCGAGTGCATTCCTAACGTCCTAACCGTACCTAGAGCATCAGCAAAAATCGACTATATAAGCAGCCAAAATCATGGCACAAACGCTCAGAAAATCATTCAATTTCACGCGTAAAGGATCGGACTGCACGTTGTCACTCGTGGCTCTAACCGTTAGAGTATTAGATTCAGTGTAGTATTCGCAATCTGGCCTAGGTACGGATTCGTTATAACATACCCTAGGGAACAAGCTGGATCGGTTACCGGGCAAAATAGAGCTGCATAGACTACTCTTTCCGAATATCGCATAGTTTTGATAGATTTCTGTTCCACCAAATTTCATCTTGCCTTAACCTCACACACAGTTAGGTTTTGTTATCCGATATTTCTCATAATAGAAACACTGTACACGACAATTAATAGAAAACTTTTAAATTGGTTGTAACAATATATGGTAAACTCACATTTTACTCGCGTTTTTAAATATCTCTTACCCATCCTCAACATTTCAGAGAATATCTACCCACGTTGGAATAGCAAGGCGTGTTTCAACACCTTAAACGAGCAGCGAACCCACCATTGAGTGCATTCTTACCGCTCGGAATTCACTCAAACATTATTCACGTTACCTCCGGTCGTTTCTTTTTTTTTGGTTACTTCTAAATTTTTATTATCAAATTTAAAGGCCTCGCTAGCCACTACGGCCTACGTAACAGAATTGGTGACAGCGGTGGGATACCCTCCGAACTAGTATTAACTCAACCTGAAATACCAACACCCATCTTAACCAACTTCGAAAACCGACTAAGGAAGTTGGACTTCGGGTCAACTACCCCATTGTTATTTTTGAAGTCCTGTCTTTCAAGAACCGACTAAGGAAGTTGTACTTCGGGACACCTTCCCCATTGTTATTCTTGAGCACCTTAACCGCCTTCAGAAATCAACTAAGGAAGTTGGACTTCGGGTCAACTTCCCCATTGTCATCTTAGAAATCCTATCAATTCAAACTACCCTAATCAAGTTGGTACCACAAACGAGTTCAGTCACATGCATACATTAGACGTTTGTTAAATAACCATTTCGGAACTTCCCCATTGTCATCTTAGAAATCCTATCAATTCAAACTACCCTAATCAAGTTGGTACCACAAACGAGTTCAGTCACATGCATACATTAGACGTTTGTTAAATAACCATTTCGGAACTTCCCCATTGTCATCTTAGAAATCCTATCAATTCAAACTACCCTAATCAAGTTGGTACCACAAACGAGTTCAGTCACATGCATACATTAGACGTTTGTTAAATAACCATTTCGGAACTTCCCCATTGTCATCTTAGAAATCCTATCAATTCAAACTACCCTAATCAAGTTGGTACCACAAACGAGTTCAGTCACATGCATACATTAGACGTTTGTTAAATAACCATTTCGGAACTTCCCCATTGTCATCTTAGAAATCCTATCAATTCAAACTACCCTAATCAAGTTGGTACCACAAACGAGTTCAGTCACATGCATACATTAGACGTTTGTTAAATAACCATTTCGGAACTTCCCCATTGTCATCTTAGAAATCCTATCAATTCAAACTACCCTAATCAAGTTGGTACCACAAACGAGTTCAGTCACATGCATACATTAGACGTTTGTTAAATAACCATTTCGGAACTTCCCCATTGTCATCTTAGAAATCCTATCAATTCAAACTACCCTAATCAAGTTGGTACCACAAACGAGTTCAGTCACATGCATACATTAGACGTTGTTAAATAACCATTTCGGAACTGCTCAAACTTGTTACTCCAACATGGCAGATGCAGATTTATCTCGATCCCTAATAGAAGCATTTAACTTCACAACATCGCAAGCTAGAATACAAAACGCAGCATTAGAAATTCCTAAATACGACGGTGAGACAACCTCACTTACAAATTTTGTACGCGCTGCGAAAACCGGAGCACAACAGTTATCTACGTAACATAGCCTTCAATATTAAAGGAATTACATTACATTCGACGTTTCACTTGCTTGTAAATAACGATGTTATGACTCCTTTACCACCTAATATATTAAATACTATAAGTACAAAATTATTGAATTTAAAATATTTGATAATCGACGAAATATCAATGGTAGGGCGAAGAACGTTCAATCAAATAAATAAACGACTTCAAGAGATATTCCATTCTCCAGAAAATTTTGGAGGAATATCCGTAATAGCATTAGGCGATTTCAACCAATTACAACCTGTAATGGATGGTTGGATATTCGACGTTGATAAACGTGATCCATTATCCGTTTTAAGCGGTCCTTATTTATGGAGATTATTCTCAATATACGAATTAGATGAGATCATGCGCCAGAAAGATGATCATATATTTGCAACAGCGCTCAATAACTTAGCCAATGGAACTTTAAATAACTCAATGAATGATATGTTTAAATCGAGAGAAATTCAAACACTCATTCAAAATCAATGCTATCCTCCACGAGACTCTATTCATTTGTTCCATACCAACGAACAAAAAGACATATACAATAGAATGTCTTTGGAAAATATGGATACCGAATGTTATACCTAAGAGCAATTGATGCATGAACAGGGAACGCTCCTGAAAAAACAAAAGCTAAATTGTTAGAAAATATTAAAAATTTGCCCCCTCAAAAGACACAGAATTTGGAATACGAAATTCCTGCCAAAATAAACACAAGATATATGCTAACTGTAAATATCGATGTTGAAGATGGACTCACAAATGGCGCTTGTGGTCGTCTTAGACACGTTGGATGGGGTTATAATAAAAATAAAGAAAAACTTATTAATAGAGTTTTCATTGAATTTGAAGATCCAGACGTGGGTAAAAAAGCAAGAAACCCATGGCTAAGTTACATGAAAAAAAATAATATTAATTTAAATTGTACACCCATTGAACACCAAACTAGAGTAATAGCAATGAGACAAAATAGTATATACAAAATTTTGAGAAAAAAGATACCAATAACTCCTGCCGAAGTAATCACAATACACAAATCTCAAGGCAGTACATACAAAAATATTGTTGTTCATATATCAGGAAAACGTCGCATGTGCAGTAGAGACTAATTTATGTCGCTTTTAGTAGAGTGACTTCTCTTAATGGTTTATTCATTGAAGGACTATACATTCCTCCAAATACAAAACAATACGACACTGCAAAACTCGAAATTCAACGGTTAAGAAAAGAAAATCCCATTCAATTTACTCTCAAATTTCCACAAGATTTTAAAACGATCAATAACATAAACGTGATTTTTCAAAATGTTAGGTCTCTGAATAAACACTTGATAGACATTTCTAAAGATAGAGGCTTTATAAATACAGAAATTTTAATTTTCATTGAAACGTGGACATTGCGTAATGATCCACTATTTTTCAAACCTTATGCTTTCATAACGAATAAAGATTGTGGTAATATTAGAAAGTCTTTTGGATACGCTGTATTTGTGAAAATCTATATTCTATCAAATAATTACGTTAATCAATTTTATGACAAATGTTTTGAACAATTAATTCAGCAGATAAGATTCGGTAGAAATAGGAAATAGGTTACAGAGGGTACCTTGATCGATACGAGGAGGATTGTTCTTTGTGTCTGATATGTTGTCCTGATTAATGAAACTAGAACGAATTTTAACTGAACGAATTGATTGATTCTTTGCTCGGTTATTCTTATTCCGTTTTATGTAAGTTAGATATTCTGGGTATGAATAGATTATTGTGTGTACCTGATTATATGTGATTGCACTCATAGGCTTACCGAATGATTTCCAGGGAACTCAACAGTTTCCTTTTATTGCTTTCCTTGAAAGTATGAAGATTCAATGAGGTGGTTTGGATGGACCCTTATTCCAGATGAGATTGTAATCAGGGTTTTGTAAATGATAATGATGATGATGGTTCACAAAACTTGCAGATTAGAGTCACCAGGTATGCTTCACTTTTGTATAAACTTCGAAGAACTGAATTGAAGAGAATATAAGTTCTTAGAACTCTAGACTTCGACTCTAACTTTGCACTTCTTTTACAAAACTTCTGATGTACTTCACAACTCCACACTTCTACCGCTGAACAGGAACTAGAACTCCAACTGGAACTGACTTTTTAGGCTCTCCAACCCCTTTTAAAGACTTCGTTTCTTATCCCTTCTATTACTTCTCATGAATTTGATTGGTCTTTAATTCCCTTTCTCAATGATCATTTAACAAATCAGAGTACTAACAATTATCTATCTGTTGTTGCATACCTGAGTCTTCCAATTCTGTACCTGAAACCTCGCGAGTACTGCTAGTCTCGAGGAGCTTCAGGTTTATCTTTTATTTCAAGACATAATAAAGGATTGGTATGACAAATTCCTTAAGAACATAATACCTGATAGAAATAATAAGCGTAACATTTTTCCGGTCAAATAAGTGATAACGTAATTAAAGATTCCAATAATATAACGAAATATAAAACAAGACAAAAGTATAAACTTATAAGTATAAATCAATAAAATTAGTTATATCAAAGGATTAATCGACATATGTGTGTGTATAATGTCTGTATAGGTTAGGGTATAACAATAATAATATGGGTTGGCCATGGGTATAAGTGGCTGTGGGGTATAACAATAATAATATGGTTGGCCATGGGTATAAGTGGCTGTGTATATGTATGGTTAACTAGTATCGTATATAGGAGGGCTGAGACGTAACAATACATTTTATTGTTA